AATTTTGTCATATTTTTGGCATATTTTCATTTTGAATTAAACATTTGGTAATATTTCTACAGCTAACAAAACTAAGTAGTTAGGATATCAGGATATCATATACAGATCGCATTTATGGCCCGATCCTTACGAAATTTTGCATGGGGATCAGATGAGGGTCAGAATAGAAGTCTTCTCTTTTTGGAGATGATCGCCATATGTCAGCAGGTCGTAATTATCGCCCGACCCTCACGCACATTTGAATGGGGATTACCGGACATTGCAAAAGCCAAGCAGTTTTGGATGGCCATCCAAAAATATTCAATGTGTGAATAGCTCGCCAACTTTTGTAGACAAAATACGAAAATGTCCATTCCAGTGACTTTTTGGAGAATTCACAAATGCAGGAAAGACGCACTTCTGACTATTTCGTTAACGCCGATTTCGTTGAAGAATATAGTCAAATGTCTGTATCTCACATAGATGCGTTTCAGTCAAAAAGCAATAATAAATGTTAATCTTTTGCCACTTCTGAGAGATTATAGGTCTTTGGGAAATATTGGTTTCAGATCTAGGAAGACCATTTACGTGCAACATCTACCAATAAATTGGAAATGAGCAAATTAGTATAAGTTGCTATTATTCGAAAATTAGAGAACGAAACCTGATGGTTTCTTTTATTATTTGTCACAATATCTTGTGGAATTCTTTCGAGTATCTCGCCTATGTAAACTGTATCGTTTATTATAGTGTTGTAGGGTATTCAACGGTCGGCCCCGCTCGACTGTAGCCTTTGCTTACTTGTTTTATTATATCTGTAGATAATTTAGTTGTTAGAAATCGTTGAATAAAAACTTACATTCCTAGCTGTGAAACTATTCTAATTATCTGGCCTCCTACACACTCGTATTTATAGCTCCTTATCTATACGCGGAAGTGTCGGGAATCGCAATCCCCGATATTGTACAACACTCGAAGCGAAAGGGAAACCACGCTCTTTCGTCAAAGCCTATACAAAACCAAACGAATCCATAAAAATCATAAAGTGAGCAGCAATTATAAATACGAGTGAGTGAGAGAGTACGATTAATGACGTCACAATGACAACTATAAAGATAAGACTAATACATAAATATACAATTGCGAAAGAAAGAAAAGTAAGTATAGATCATCGATTTTCAAAATAAAAATAGTTTCATCCTGTTCAAAAGAAGCCCATTTAGTCCAAATATCGTGCATCGTAATATGTGAATCACGCTAAAGTCAGATACGAAAATGAAAAACTGTAAATTTCCGCCACCATTCGGAAGAAATTTGCAATTTTTCGAAAAAAAAATCCGTTGAAAAATACTGCTAAACTCATAAAAAAAAACGAATTACCGTTACATTGGGATCTAAACGAGGATGTGGACATACATAGCCAATTTTTCCATAGGCTATTACAATATTAAAATACAAAACTTAAAGCAATTCCGTAAATAATTTGGCATTAAAATAACGAATATAGGGAGATATAAGGCGTGGACCTCCTGGCCACAGGCGGTAGTGCCCATTAGGAACTTCAAATACGAAATTTGAAACAATTCCGCTGAATAATGTCGCTAAAGTCATAAAAATACCGAATATAGGGAGGTACCGTTATATGGTATGTATAGCCCGAAAATGTTTATCTGTATAGCCAAATTTAGCCAATATTGTCCATTTGGTATCGGACCTAAATACATATTATATAAGTATTGCGACGTCCCAGGTTTGGACTATAGAAGAAACCGTCGGATCGCTACCATCTTTATAACAGATCTTGTGTTGATAGAAATATTGAGATGCACCAAGTCTGAAAGGAATATGAGCTTTATGGATATTCAAAATTTTAACCCTTTGTGGGGGAGGTACCAGAGGGAGTGCGCCAATATATATCACAGCAGATCTTGTGTTAGTAAAAATAATGGGATGTGTGGAATTTGAAGAGAACTGGATACTTATTTCGAATTTAATGATCGTTTTGGTTATTCAAAACTTTGACCCTTTGTGGGGGGCGGATGATATACCAGAAGTAATGGTCCTATCTCTACCATCTTTATAACAGATCTGGTGTTGATGGAAATATTGAAATTTACCAAGTTTGAATAAAATCGGATGTTAATTTCGCATTTGAGGAGCTTCATAGATATTCAAAATTGAAATTGACCCTTTGTGGGGGAGGTACCAAAAGGAGTGCTCCGATATATCCAATTTTCACAGAAGTTATTGTGTTAGTGAAAATAATGGGATTTGTGAAATTTAAAGAGAACTGGATGCTTATTTCGGATTTAATGATAGTTTTGGTTATTTAAAACTTTGACCCCTTGTGGGGGAGGTACCAGAAGCAATGGTCCGATCTTTACCATCTTTATAACATATCTTGTGTTAATGGAAATATTGAGATTTACAAAGTCTGAATGAAATCGGTTGTTAATTTCGCGTTTTAAAAGTTTTATGGATATTCAAAATTGAAATTGTCCCTTTGTGGGGGAGATACCAGAAGGAGTGCGCGGATATATTCCATCTTCACAGCAGATCATGTGTTAGTAAAAATAATGGGATGAGTGAAATTTGAAGAGAACTGGATGGTCTTTCTGTGCAATAAAAAAATCTTTCGAGAATGTCCACATTTTGTGGGGGAGGTACTTGATGGAGTGGACCGATATTGTCCATTTCAACACATGACCGAGCACTGAAGCAAATAAAAGGATTTGCAAAGTTTGAGCAAAATCGGATTATCCTATCTCTTTCTGTGCAATTAATTATTTTCTTTAAAAATTTGGACATTTTGTATGGGAAGTACCAGAAGGACCGATATTGTCCATCTTCAAACTCGATCTAAGTTTGATAATAATATTACGATGTACCAACTTTGGATCAAATCGCATACTCCCTTCGAGAGTTATCGGGCGCACCAGCCAGACAGACAGACGGGCGGAAGGACGGATGGACATCGCCAGATCGACTCCAAATGTTGGTCCAGAGAGACATAGGGTCTGATACCGTTATTTCGACTAGGCACGTTTTGACCGTATCAAATGATATATACCCTTTGTAGCCATATGGCTGAGGGTATACAAATATATCGGAGCCAAGTTGCACAAAATGGAAACGAGTGTCCCGAAATTCAAATTTGGGCTGATATTAGACATTATTTGCACAATTAACCTGAAATCGGATTAAGAATATACAGGGTGAGATGAAAAAACTGCAATCAACTTAAGACTGCTGTCAATTTGGTAAGAATTTTCCAGAAAAAAGTTATTCGTGATGGAATTAAAGCGTGATAGTGTGATTTCTTTATATTTGGCTGGAAAACCACAAGTGGCTATCATTAGAGCACTCCAGCATTTTAATGTGAATAAACCTTTGGTGTCTCGTACCATCTCTCGTTATCGCAATACTGGTAGAGTAGCCCGACGTCAAGAAAGTGAAAGTGGACGGAAGAAAACAGCAACATCTGCAGAAATGGTTCGCAAAATTAAGAAGCGACTTGATCGAAACCCGCGTCGCAGTGCTCGAAAAATGGCTCGTGAGCTGAACTTATCGAAATGCTCCATTCGGCAAATATTGAAAAATGAGCTCGGGGTAAAACCATTGAAATTCCAAAAAGTGCAAGAACTTTCACCTCAACAGAAAGAAAATAGACTGAAAAGAGCTAAAGAGTTGCTTCGCTTGGCCGAAAGTGGTGAAATGCCGAATTTGGTTTTCTCCGCTCCGAAGAGAAAACATTCGTTGTCCAGCAGTTTGTAAACAAACAAAATGATCGTTTTTACTTGCCAAAGAGGTCAGCTGAAAATGTGCACCTTCGGTTGGCCACCAGAACTCAAGCGCCGGCCATAGTGATGGTGTGGGCCAACACAACAGTCGATGGTCGCTCTTCGCTCATATTAATAATGCCGAATATTATCGCGAAAATATTCTGGATGGTGTATTAAAGCCTTGGGCATGAAAACATTTTGGCCGCAGACCTTGGATATTCCAACTTCTTCCTTCCAGGACTCCATCGCACTCAGCTCGAGCCACCCTAGAATGGTTACAAAATGAGGTTCCTCGCTTCATTTCCAGCGCACAATGGCTACCAAAATCTCCGGATACCAATTCGTTGGACTATTGTGTCTGAAGTATTTTTGGAAAGCAAGGTTGGCACTAAAAATACAAAAGTGTCGATCACCTCAAGCAAGCGCTTTGCCGGGAATGGGCCAAAATAGCGCAGAGCAACAATCGGGCAGCGTGTGACGGTTTCATTGGCCTCTGAAGGCCATAATTCGTGCCAAAGGTGACCAATTCGAAGAAATCTAAACTTATTCTAAAATTTTATGCTATTTCCGACATTTTTAGAAAAATGTAAAAATTATGGCGTTTGACTTTGTTTTTTATCTCACCCTGTAGATCAACTCCAAATGTACTAAAACAATTTTTGGTCCAAAGAAACCTAGGGCTAAAACCCTTATTTCGATGAGGCACGTTTTGGACGTATCAAATGATAGCCATATGGCTAAGGGTATAAAAACTATCATTAAATGTTTAAAAGTGTCTGCACTTCTTAATCTTAATATATCTGCTCTTATTTGATAAACCGATCCTCCCAGTGTTAACTCCCTGACATCCAGTGAAAATCTTGAAAATTTTTAAATTACATACATCTATGAAAAAATCATGCAACCATTAAACCTTTACTCTCCTGACACAGATTTTGTTTTGCAATGTTTTGCTGTCATTGACATCGACATGTTCACCCCACATTTGTTGTTGTTGTTGCTGGTGTTTGCCAACCTGAAGTTCTATGGGTTTGTTTTTCTTATACCGCACAACCTAAACACACAACCTGCCAGTCTAATGATGACATCGTTGTCATGGCTATTGCCCTGTCGCATTCTCATCGTCATCTTCATCATCATCGTCTTTCATTTTTGTTTTTGTTTTTTTGCTAGACTTTAGTCCACAGCCATTGTTTTGTTTGGTTCTGTCGTCTTTCTTTTGTCATTTGTTGTACTTACCTGGCAGCAACAGGTGTTATAATCCATAAATATCCTCCAGTATTACGTTCCATGGTTGAGGTGCAGGGTGGTACAACCGAACGTCGGTAGGGTGTAAATTCCTCCAGATTGGATATTGTTGTTGGTTGTTGTGCAGGTGCTGGAACTTGTCGGAAGTCACGTTGCTGGTGGTGAGCAGCAGCAATATTTGTTGATTGCAGTTGCAACATCTTTTGTTGTTGTTGCAAAAATCTTTGCTGCTGTTGCTGCTGTTGCTGCTGCTGCTGATGCTGTGAAAGACCATTCAATTTACTGAGATTAGTACATGAATTATTCATGCTGGCATTTAGATCACTGGCCACCGACATGGTGCGTCCATTCACACCCATGTGTGTTGGTCCGATTGTGGCGTTGGTGTGACCATGGTCGATGGGCGGGAAACCGGTCGAGGGTATGCTACCGGAAATTGTATTTATAACACCCATCATTTTGCCCTCATTAGTGGTGTCTGGCGGAGTATTGTTGTTTTTCTTCTCCGGGTTGTGTTTTTTGTTATTGTTGTCACTGGCCACTGGTGCCGGTGTTGTTGTTGTTGCAATATTTGTGCTGCTATTGCCAATTGAATTCTGTTTGTGGTTGGAATTTAAAGAAATATGATTGTGGGATGGTTGCTGCTGATGTTGCTGTTGTCGAGCATAGATGTCACCACCATTGGTCGCCGCCACCGAATGCAGTGACAAAGACGATTGCGAAATATTAATGGGATTCCTTGGCAATGTGGCATAGGGTGAATGCAGATACAATTGTGACGTGCCCAGCAGACCACTACTGCTAGCTGGCGTCTCTATGGAAGCGTGTGCCGTCTGTCTGAATTGTTGCTGTTGCTGACGTTGTTGGGAATCATCGCTGGATTTATTTGGTCCGAATGTTTTCAATAGACTTGTCGAAGATACTGATAAAAACGCCGACGTAGACAATGGTGTTGGTGTTGGTGTTGATGCGGCTGTCGCCCCAGCTGCAGCCACTGAAGCTGAGCCATGATTTGAAGTTGCTGATTTCGATGATGCTGATGCTGATGCTGTTATTACTGCAGTCGAGGGATGGTGGTGCGGGTTACCACTGGACTTGACTAATGGCTGCTGGTGACCACTAATATTGCCATTTTGTTGCTGTTGTTGTTGCTGTTTTTGTTTGTGTTGCCTTAACTGGCCTGCGGAAAAATTAGCATTTGCCGTTTTTATATCACCGTTGCCGGGCCCAACTACTACAGCAACTGAGTCTGTGTCAACACTGTGCGAGGATGCCACACGAAAAACATTTGGCACTGAGGGATAATCGCGCATAATTTTGAGTTTATCTTGGCCTCTCCAACACCGTCACCCTCCGGCTTATAGACTAGACGAGGGAGTTTAATAATGAACACAGCTATAATAAAAGGCCCACACGAACAAATACACACACGCGAACACACGCAAAGGGAGAAAAAAACCCGGCTGTGGAATGCTGCGTATGTTTCGCGGGTGGATGGCAAAGCTAGTTTTGTTTGTTTTTTTTTTCACTCCCGTATTAATGACACACTAACACACACGCCGTATGCACAAAAAAGGCCAACGCAAAAAGAAACTAGTTTAAAAAATTATGTAAAGTGCCTCAAAGTATGCACTAATTTTTAGTTTTTGTTTTTTCAAAGTGGTTCAAAGTATGCACTACTTTTGTGAATCTTTTTTCCAATGCGCCGTAATATATGCACGTTTTTTTTTTGCGTAATTAAAGTTTTTTGTTTCTCTGTTTTTCGAAGTCGAGTGGGAAAGATATTTTTTTCGGATTTTGGTTTTTATTTCACTTTTTTGCATAATCGCGATTTCAATGTTTTAATTAGTTTTCTTAATATTTATTGGTTAACTGTTTCTTTTTTTTTTGGAATTATTGCTTTTATAGTTGATTTTCATAATGGATTAATCCTGGAAATAGAAAAAGAAAGGAAATGGTAAAAAATAAAATAAAGCCGAATCGTTTGGAAAATATCGTCAAGACCTTAGCAATATTTAAAACCAGGGGGTATCTTTATAAAAGGGCTGTACCTAGAGTTGTGCCAATCTAGTCGATCGTAGGCACTAGTTTCTTATCTATTTCCGTGGACTCAGGTTTGTATGAAAACTCCGCGTATGAGTAATATAAAATATATGAAATTTATCACTCATACGTTTAGGAATTGGTGTACAGGAAATTTACATTCAACAGAAGAAGTCAATTGTGAAAAAAAAATGTGAGAAGTGCGCCCTCTAAGAACACCATTAAGCGTTTATACGAAAAATTTTCGACTGGTAAGGCTCTTTCTAATCAGAGTCGACCAAGGCGATAAGCCGAGAATATCGCTGCCGTACGAGCCAGTGTTGAGAGGTCCCCAAGAACATCCCAAAAACGCCGTTCTCAGCAGTTAGGCATGGCTCGGTCCACTTTACAACGGATTATTCGCATTGATTTGCATTTGTTCCCGTACAAAATTCAATTGACGCAAAGAATGTTGCCTGCGGACAAGCCTTTTTGCGTTTTTGTACAATAAGAATTCAAAAGGACAATATTTGACGAAATTACTCGAAATTGGAGTAATTCTTACATGGAGGCTATACCGAAAAGTGGACCGATATGACCCATTTTTATATATTTTATTAATTTTGTCTTTCCGTTTGTAACTCCTCGAAATACTTATGTCAGATCCAACAAAGTATATATATTCTTGATCAGCGTTAAATTCTAAAACGATTTAGCCATGTCTGTCTGTATGTCTTTGTGTCTGTCAGCCTGTCTGTCAATCTGTCTGTTGTAATCACGCTATCTTTCAAACGTATTGAAATAGAAGGCTAAAATTTTGCACACATATTTATTTTGCCAGTAGGCAGGTTAAGTTCGTAAATGTAGGTCCACGTTTTCATATAGCCCCCATATAACGGTATCTCCCGATATTCGGTTTTTTGATGATTTTAGCGAAATTATTCACCGGAATTATTTCAAATTTGGTATTTGCTGGTCCAGGTCTTCGTACATCTCCGATATAATGGTACCTCCCTATACATGATATTTTGATGATTTTAGCTACATTATTCACCGCTTATTTCAAGTTTCGAATTTGAATATGGCAAACAATGCCCACGTAGTATAGACCCCAATTTTTAAAATGTTAACAGAATTGTTTAAGGATTTTATTTTTTGAAATGTTTCAACTTTTTTTTTTTTCTTTAACAATAATTGATGATATTTTTTCATGGTACACATTGAGTATACATATTTCTTTTGTTCAGAGACTCGCAATGAAATTCAATCTAGAATAGTTCTTCCATTGACACTTTGTCCAAAAAATGAAGTATAAAGGGAGTTCTTAACATGGAATAAAAACTTAGTAAGTTAGCACTTAAAAAAAGCCAACATAATTTTCACTTGGAGTACATACATTTCGAAGTATATTTTTTCATGATATATATTAAAAATACAACTTTCTTTTGTTGGGAGACTCCCAATGAAATTCAATCTAGAATAGTTCTTCCATTGACACTTTGCCCAAAAAATGAAGTATAAAGGGAGTTCTTGACATGGAATGAAAACGTACTAAGTTAGCAGCTAAATAAGCCAACATAATTTTCACTTGGAGTACATACATTTCAAAGTATATTTTTTCATGATATATACTAAATATACAACTTTCTTTTGTTCAGAGACTTACAATGAAATTCGATCTAGAATAATTCCTTCTTTGACACTTTCCCCAAAAAATGAAGTGTTAAGGGGAAATTTTGACTTGGATTGAATACGTATTCAATTCACAGTAAAAAAGAAAACACATCATTATCACTTACAGTACATGCAATTCAAAGGTAATTTTCACGAAAACTACTGCACCTAGATATATGGTTTATTCTGAGATTTATTTTGAAAGTTTGTGTAAAATATTTCTTCCTTTGTCAGAATTTGCCTAAAACGAAATTTTATGTTGCTTTCAAGCGCCAAATCGAAAAAAATTAGAGGAAAACATGATGAAATTTTTCGACCAAAATATTTCTCGTATTTTTATCTGCAATATTTCCGAAGACACTATATACCTAAAATGTACGAATTTCGAGGAATCTTAGTCCGAAAATTTTCAAAAGTGTGGAAGAGCGAGGGGGGGGGGAGTTGGCCCCTATATTTGTCTCCTATATTTGTCTCCTATATTTAGGTTATTTTTGCGAAGTAAACATAAAAAACGCCGATACACGTGCCATCTTTTTTAGCTCTACTTTAATAATATGCTGGATTTTCCCTGTAATTATTATTAATTTTTTTGTTGCACAGTGTTATTTTGCCTTTTTTCTAATTGTTAAAAATTTAAAAATTTGACCTCTTATGGGAGGGGTTAGAAAAAGTATGTCGAATATTGATATATACTTAGTTTGAACAGAATAACTGACCAGTATCGCGATTTATAAGGGTTCTAAATATACAAAATTGCGACCCTTTGCTAGGGAGTACTTTAAAGAGTAGTGTACCATATCCCATCTCCCCTTCAAATCCTGTGTTTGTAAATATATTGGTATGTGCGATGTTTGAAAATAATCGAATGCTTCTTTCGCGTTCCATGAGCATCATGGTTATTGAAAATGTGGTCCAGTTGTGGAAATTTTAAAGCAATTATTCCACATTTTATAAAAGTTATGATTTTTCAATATTGTACCCTATCGTGGTTAAGGTATTGATAGAGTGAGCAGATATTGGTCATTTTCGTGACTGGGAAAGCTTAAACGTAATACAATGATCATATCTTATTCTTCTAGGTTAATTATTTTTTTCCGAAAATTTTGACCTTTTGTGGGGAAGGTACCGGATGAATATTACACATCTCTGACCTCGATCTAAGTAGGACAATAATATCACGATATACGAAGATTGGACCAAGACGAATACTCCCTTCGAGTGTTATCGTGCGCACCAGCCAGACGGACGGATTCCTGGACACCAAACGTTTAGCCCTATCAAATGATATATATCATCTGTATATGCCTACAGACTGGGGTTTTAATTATGAAGAATGTCAGTGAAATCGGTTGGAGGATGCAGTTCAAGTCTTAAAAAAAAACACAAAAAAAGTTTACTCTTATATAAAGGCTAAAGGAAAATGAAGACATATGAGGGTAGTTATCCGTGGTTTTTATCTATTGCGAACATTAAATACCAAATTTTAAAATCTCTTCAAACTTAGGATTTGTATTTTATTCGAATTGAATAACTTAGCTTATTATATGTTAGTCTTCATAGAGACCGGAAAATCGAAGTCCAACCGTATATTGAATTGTGAAACAGAAAAAGTTAAAACAGCGCTAAGTTCAGACAAAAAAGAAAAACTCAGTAGATTGTGAAAGTAGAGCTAAAAATAGAAGATAAGTTCCGTCACCCCTTTCATTCTTTTTATACCCTCAGCCATATGGCTACTGAGGGTAAATACCATTTGATACGGCAAAAACGTGCCTCATCGAATTGACGATTTTAGACCTTAGGTCTCTTTGAGCCAAATCCGTTTCAGGACATTCGGAGTCGATCTAGCGATGTCCGTTCATCCGTCTGTCTGGTTGGTGCGTACGATAACTCTCGGAGATAGTATCCGATTTGGTCCAAACTTGGTACATCTTAATATTATTCTCAAACTTAGATCGAGTTCGAAGATGGGCAATGCCAGTCGACTCGTTCTGGTACCATCCCACAAAAGATCAACATTTTCAATAAAATATTTTACTGCACAGAAAAATTTGCTCCAACTTTGAAAATCCTAATACTTGCATCAGTGCTAGCTCAGGTGAGAAAATGGACAATAACGATCCAATCAAACAAGTACCTTCCCCACAAAGGGTCAAAATTTTGAATATAATAGTTCTTATAAAATGTAAAGTAAGAGTCCGATTGTCTTCAAATTACACACATCCCATTATTTCTACCAACACAAGATCTGCTGTAAAGATGGAATATATCGGTTCACTCCTTCTGGTACCTCCCCCACAAACGGTCAAAATTTTGAATAACAATGAAGCTCGTAAAAAGGGAAATTATCATCCGATTCCATTCAGACTTGGTTAATCTCAATATTTCCATCAACAGAAGAATTGTTATAAAGATGGTAGAGATCGTACTATTTCTTCTGGTACCTAAAAAGAAAAAACGCTCAACGAAAGCGATATAAGTATCCAACTCTCTTCAACTTTCACACAGTTATATTTATATCGTACTCATTTGGGTCCTATACGACATGGACAATATTGGCCCATTCCTTCAAAACCTATTCCATAGAGGGACAATCCCATATTGAGTTCCCAAAGGTGTCTTTTTTGTCTGAAAAAATTTTGTCGCAGGGTGTTATTGTTACAATTTTTAAGTTTGGTATAAATTCAATCATTCACCCTCTTCGCCTAATAAATTTGGTTTATATAGG